GCTTCTGCAAGACTCTTCAAAGGACCTGATTTGTCTTTCAAGTACACTGTTGTGAGGCCATCTCCTTGGCAATGACGCGTCCGAAAGCCAGCCAAGTGAACGAATGGCCTTCAGAAGTTCCTTTGCACAGTCTGACTTACAAATGGTTCGAGGGTTCCTGGCCTTTATACCCACAAAATGGTTCAGGGCTTCCTTGACCGAATCAGTATCTTTTGTTGTCAGGGGGTATGCTTGGAACAAGATTTTGACACGATCATATGATCACATGCAATTTGCTGGCCGAACGCTTCAGGAACAGGGAGTGACTTTCTTCATCTGCTCTACGATGGGATCTGATGCGTTTCGAGTACAGCCTAGCACGATTGCAAACATCGCAAAGTGCGGACTTAGGGAAATGCGTCACGCAATGCTTGGTGGACAATGCAAGTTCCCTTTCACGCACGAACTTCTCAGATTCAGGGACTTTTGGCAAAGCTTCTCCTGGAGCAACGCCACGAATGTCGTCTGCGACTGAATTCGAAACTGCACCTTCAGAGACCGGACCCCGGGTTCTGCTTCAACCGGATCAACCTCACCTGGTACGCCTGGAATGAAATCAAAAGATCTAGAAAATATGGGACATACTGCTCAACCCTTGATGCTCTAATCAAATTGCTCTCATCCGTTTGGAACTGGAACTGATTGCAGTCTTTTATATAGCATGGGAGTTGATTGGGCAACCACAAAAACCCCATACCATTGCTGACATCAAGACCAACAGAACAAACAAACGGGCATGAGTCAAGCGCAAAGTGATTGACCGATTGCATCGCTCGAATCTCTCTTTCCTCCACCTGTTGAAAACCTCAGGCTCTCATGCGAAGGAAGCTGGAACTGGCTGAACACCTCTGGAGACACTCCCTGCCTTTCTAAACTCTGCGGAGAGACAAGACCAGCACCTGTGTCTGCAGCAAACTCTAAACGGCCTTCAACGGGCATGGCCATCGATGAGAGGGCAGCAACAATTGCGACAGCACAATGCCTTGGCTTTCGGCTTTGGCTGGGCCTTTGGCTTGGCCGTTGCTTCGGCTTTGGCGTCAGGCTTGACCTTCTCACGCAGGTACGCGCATGAACTGCCGCGCACACAGCCGGAAGGCATCTGGAAGAACACACAAGGCGTTTTCGCTTTGTCTTCCTTGCTCAAGCCTTTGCCTTTACCTTTTCCCTTCTCACCCTTGCCTTTATCACCTTTGGCGACGAAGGATCAGCGGGAGCCGCCGAAGTCTCCTTAGGAGGTGGTGGCGGAACCGTGGCAGCCTTTGCAGGGTTTGCAAGAGGATTCGGCTTCTCCTTGGGATCTTTCTTCCATTACTTTGGTTTCAACGAAAGCTCAATGGACCTGGCATTGGTGTCTTCCCTTTCTTCAACGAGATGCCCCTGCAATCTTCCCCAAAGGACGTCGAAATCGCGAAGTTCCGAGCTGTATGCGGAGCGTTTGATCTCATCGATGGTCCTTTCAAGCTTCCGGACATTCCTCAACCGATGGAACAACCATTCACCTAACATTCTCTGATTCGGCCAGTCGGCAGGGTCAATGGAGTTCAAAGTCTTCATGACTGTACCGCTAAACTCCTGGAGATCTTTTGACGAAAAACCATTGAGTTCTACCTGAAAGATGCTTTGCGATGTGAGCAACGAATAACCACGAGTACGATCGAGATCGAAATGTCGAGCAATCATATACAAGATCATCCTACCTCGAGGGACTGTGGACTGACGCGTGCAACGCTCAACGTACCCTTGAACTTTGAACAACAGCTCAGGGCTTGATCGCACGTTCTTGAGAAGCTCGGACGCAAGCCACCTATCAAACCTTGGGAGCTGCAGGCCTGATGAACTCTGGCATTAATTCCTTCTCATGACCTACCTCGAAGGCCATGGCAGCCCACTTGGAAAGGTACTCATTTGACGAAATGTCCAAGCGGCCAAGCATCAAAAAGAAGTTTGTCTTCCAAGCTCTAAAGTCTGCAGCACTCTGTGGAACTACTTCCAGTTTGGTGTGCCACAAAGCTCTAGAATCAACAATCTCTCTTTCTGAGGCATGTAAGGGCGATTCTGAAATCAACTCCTCTTCATCGTCATCCGACCCTTCACCCCCCTGATCGTTGGGATCCGGCGGGCCCCCAGGAAAGCCTTGGCAACACGAAGTCCGCGAGGAGGCCCTACAGGAGGCGAGGATGAATGAACAACTGCTTCATGCAAACGATCGAACGAAGGTCGAGGCTCACGACTTGGATCCGTGCTATTTCGGCTCGATTCAAGTGTCGACATTCTAGAATAGTGACTGAACAGCTTCCATAATCGACTCCAACATCACTCTGTTGCCTCCTTCGGTGTCCTTGGGCGAAGATGCATCAGGCACAGGCTTCGAGACGAATGCAGGCTCAGGCGACTGGATGACCGCGGCGCTTGAAGCAGCCAGTCGGGCCTCCAGCGACGAGATGCGATCTTGTCGAGACGAAGACTCTTGGCAAAGACGTTGGATTTCTTAATCTTTATGGCCTAACAGGTTGAGGGACTTTTGGTTGAGGTCGGACAAACGGTCGATCTCATCTTTCGCTTTGCGAAGCTGACCCTCAAACATGGATTGGTTGAATTTGATCTGGTTCTCAAGAGTTTGCTTAACATCTTGGACCGCTTCATGCAAGCTGGTGATCATGACATCTTTCTCATTGTGACCTGCTTGGAGCACTTCATTCTGACCACGGAGTTCTTCGACCAGGGATGTCAGGTAACCGATATGAGCTGTGGCTTCCTGGAAGACTTGTTGAGCAACACCTTCAAAGTGCAAAGCCCTGGAGTCTGCTTCTGCGATAAGTCGCTGTGGTTCAGCTACAATACGAGCGAACTCTGCGTGGTCAACACCAACATTTGCCACCTGGACCGTTTTGAAAGACCGGGCGTCATGAAGGTGCAATTCTTGAGTCAAGCTTGATTGATTCGGCATGACTTCATCTTCTTCTCCGGGACCCTGGAACCCAGAAGGACCAACCGATCTCTGGAGCAACCCACTTGACGAAGGCAATGACCGAAGGTCAGTGAGCGCCGGAATCGATGGTTCAGCCACTGATGACCCTTCTGCTTGAGATTGGGACTGAGCACCTTTGGGCAGGTTTTTGATGACTCTACTCAAAGATCTCGTGAGAAGACTGAGACCTGCTCCTAACAGCAACTGCCAAATCACCAACAGTAGTATCTGAACTGACATTCAACGATGAAGACTGTTCTTCTGACATGATTCAATGGCCAACTATCCAAACACTCCCAACCCACTCTTTCTTTTGGCGGGCACGAATGCACAATTGGCACAGGCTCTTTCAGGAACTGGCCTAGCGAACAATGCTCCTGCGGCGCTTAGCCGGCCAGGTGCGGCTTTGATGCGATCTCAATCGCGAGTGGTCGAATGGTGCTGCACGAATCGCACCAATCGATCAACCAGCCAAGGCGCCGACAAGCTCCAAGGCCTTTGCTCTTCACCTTTAAAATCGCTGCAACTCGAGGTTTGCGAATCTGAATTGCAATGAGGCTCGCTTCACTGAACTCTCGAAGCACCTCAGTGTTGTCGTCCAAAATCACAGATTGACCCCGAGTCAACGATCTCAGCACCTCAAACTTTCCACCTGGGCCCGTTCTCTCACGGGTGACAATCACACAATCAACCGACAATGAACTCTGCTGTACCGCAGTGATCAAATTCCTCTCGTTCACCACGCTGTCGTGAATGTGCGACAAAACAATGACCTTCACCCGACAATGCAAGCCCCACTCTTCAATCTCCTGACGCAAGCGACGAACTGCTGCAACGTGGCCCGCAGGCAGATTACCAACGTGATCCACACGATCCGGAGGATTGACACTCCGGTCAACGTCAAGGACCTGATGGTAGTCCAATGCAATCACCGGATCAGCACCCAAGTGATTCGGCCTGTCTGCTGCCTGCCTCAACGAAACACCGTTCGCCCACACGTAAAACTTGGCTGAAGATGGAAATGTCAAGGCCTTTCTGTAAACAATGTCAACTCGCGACCACGGATGAAGAATGACCCCAGGCGCCGGGCGGTAATACTTGAGGATGTCGTAAGGCCGATTACCGGCAGGCGTGTCAACAACACTCGAAGTCGCTCGGCTCGGAACTGCCTTCGGAGCTGCCGAACTTGAGTAGCCGGACGACGGATCAAAGACGTACGGATTCCAGAGCCTTGAACGCGGCACAAGATGCTCTGCCTGCAACGAAGTCAGTTCAACTGCACGTGTAAATGCAACAATCTCAACTTCGTCCGTCTCCTCACCCGAATCCTCCTCACTTGCACTCGGCTCCCAATACCTAGAAATTCCAAGTGGCCTTCTTTGACCGCCAGCGTGAACGACAGGAACAACCGACGGATCGCCTCCCGAATTGGCAATTTATCGCGGCCCTGCGTCGCCTCGAATGCCACGCCGCGGTGGAGCGGGCGGCGTCGGCGGACGCCGCGATGGCGGCGGGCCTGGTGGCTCAGGAGGCCGCCACGGTCGACGCGGAGGCGATCGGGAAGGCGACCGTGGCCGATGTGACATGCACGGGTTTTCTGTGGACCCCGCAACCATGCTAATGAAGGATGCTGTTGTGTTGTAACAAGAACAGGAAAACAATCAAAAGCCGATACGGTTGATAACCACTTGAACCGTTGAAACGGAACACCAACACAAACAACAACCAAAAACAATTCACAGTTAAGACCGTCGTGTCCGCGACAGGGCAGCGGCAGCGGCCTTTTGGAACCTTGAGCCAAAAGCAGAGTTGTACATAAACTATGTCTTTACATGGAGGGTTACTGTACACAGGAATTCTCAAGTATTATACATGGTTTTAGAACCAAGCATTACTCGTTGATAAAAAAGATTGAAACCTCCTTCTTTGCATTCTTCCAGATCTCACAAAGAAGCACAAATGTGCGAAGTCATCAGCATTTGCCTCCCCCAGCCTGAAGCCACAAAATGGCAGCCCATCGAGCTGCTCGCGTGGATCGAGCCCGTGCCATGGTCATTCATTGAGAGAAGGAGGGAAACTAATCTTCGTTTGATTCACATCTTTGTGATGCTTCTAGATTCTAGATCCAACATGATCCCTCTTGCAAATGAAGACAATAGAGTGGTAATTTGATTTGAGGACAAGAACCAAATGCACGCTTTGCCGGGTGCATTGCGTGTTCGCATTGCTTGTCTGAATTCCTAGTCACCTGCACCTCTTCTCGCCATGTGGTGTCTCACTAAGAAGGGCTGCACCACAGGTTATCTGAAACAACTCGAAACAGTTAAAGATTGGATCATACTTTTTCTACTTTTTCCAATCACAGAAGGAAAAGCAGCAAAGCCGATGGTTCAAATATGTTCAAATCGGGTCGGCCCCACCGCATCTTCTCGGCGATCATGTTTTGCAGTGGCTGACTGAGGAATGCAAAGCAGCGAAGAAGTGTAGCATCCTGCCGGCAAAGGCCTCCACCCGACTAGCGATGGTCTCCAACCTATTAGCAGTGGCTAATGCTTTTGCTTCGGAATGCTTTTGCAGTGTGCTCCCGAATTTGGAATCACCTTTGGATGCTCTCCTCGATGTTTTTCCGTGGAGTCAACAAAGTGGGCCCATCGAAGCTCCGAAAAGCCCGTGGATTCAAGCCACAGCGGAATGGCAAACCTCAGACGGAGAAGTTCTCATCGAGAAGCTTATCAAAAACTCATTTTGCGCAAAGGAGTCTACACGCAAGAATCTGATAGCGTCAAGGGAAATTCAAATGATGTTCTGCAAGTACGTTTAAAGCCGTTGTTGCAGTGTGCTTTTCAATCGATCTCTTTAAGGTCTGTGCGAGTAAAGAGCATGCCAAGCAAAGTGGTGATGGTTCGATATGCCTGGCGATGCTTTGACCAACTCTGCAATGATTTGTTTCAGACGTGGGATCCTGGTCGTCGATGGGCCGGATACCGTAGATTTCACCGCCCCCAGCTGCCATCATCCTCAAAGCTGTTCTCCCACGGTTGCTGCAGTACATATGTCAAGCAAGTGGACAAGGATTGAAGAGAGGAAAAGCATTCCAGCATCATCTTGGCTCAAGGCAAGCTTTGGATACCCTGCTCGGTCTGGAGCCTGCACTTCACCCACTTTGCACATAAGTTTGGAGTTGGAAAAAAGGAAACATCGAGGTCTAAAGGCAAAAGAGAATGACAAAGAGAGAAATCTGGTGCGGTTCGAATTGATTCTATCCTTACGGCTGCTCTGCAAGGTGCTCCCATTGAGAAGGTGGCGCAACTGCGCAGGATTTGGTCCTGGAACGGATCAAATCCCATGGACTTCACGCTGATTTGTCAGAAAAGAGGTCTAGAAGAGACCATAGGAAAACAAAGAGTTGATGTGTTTGTTGTAAATCAACGGATGGCCTATGATTGGCGACTGGCGTTCGCAAAGCGAAGCGTCTTTCTGAAGACGTTTGCGCTGTCGCCGTTTGCGGATGTCTAACGCTTTCAGAGCGCAGTGACCGTGTCTGCAAGGCGGTCAGCGCCCCGGCGACCCCTTCCGAGCGCACGAAAAAGGCGATGGGAAGAATCGCCTGCTTCTCCGCTTTGAAAAACAAAAACATATTCACTTCACATATTCCTTTGAAGAAATGTGACTTGCTTCGAATTTAGGAATGAGTTGCTTTGAACGGAATGGCAGTACAGAAGGCCTTCCGCAGGGGGCACATAGGTGCAAGGAGTTGAGTTTCAGAAGTGTCGGAGAAAGCACGAGATTTGCATAGATTTGCCATGTGCAAACGTGCCAAAAGCACGAGTGCAAGGGACTTCCGTCTCATTCTGAGTGCATTCAAACGTCTCAGCCTTGGGTGGTGAAATACTCATTAAAATGCGTGAATTGTGTGATGGGCGTGAGGGGTGGCTTGTGCAAATCACTCAGGAGGGCCCACCTGGCATCTTCTGTAGCTTGTGATTTCGTTGAAGTCTTTTCCAAAGTCTTCAAGAGTATCGCCTGTCCTTATTTGATCTTATTCGCAGTTCTCTGTGATCTGTGGGAGCTTGATTTGCAGTTTCGAGCGATGCAAATTTCGATCGACGCATATATATGTTGGTGTTTGTGAATTCAGCAATTCAGTGGCGATTTGTCAATCTGATGTGTGGTGGTCCGCGGAATTAGCAAAGGCAATCCTGAGCCAGCAGAACCTAGACCTTGGTCGCGCATGCATATTTTCCGCTGTATGAACATACCATCCTAGCCTTTCACATCGTAGGATTTTGAGGGCATCTTGGCTTCTCTAACATACAACTGCTGAATTCGTGCAGGAGTTCTCTTTTGGATAGAACTTGATATGTTGATAGCTACGTACCATTTAACCTCATTAACCATTCATATTCTACGATTGGCACGCCTAATCAGTGAACCTGTTGTAATCCACAGCAGCACCAGCTTCAACCCAGTCCCCTTCGCGGCCATCACTATGAGGAGTGTACTGGTACAAGTGAGCGTTGCCCTTGTGGTCCAGTGCCACCTTAGTCAAACACAACAATAAAAGTGAACATTGTAGTCCAAGTCGTAAAGACCTTTTAGACAAACCCATTGTTGCGTTTTTTTTTCCGTCAACATGCAAACGCCAAGTGATGAAGTCATTTTTGTTTTCATGTGTTAGTGAACACCTGTGAGAGTCGAGTAAGACGAGACACGAGTCCTAAGGACTTTTGGTGGACGATGAACTCACAGGCCAAGACCGTCCTCAGTCGACTCGATGTGATCGATGCCGTTGGTCGATCTTCGACTTAACTCGAAACCGTCGAGGGAGGTTGACTTAACTCGAGTGAGCGACGGCGGTCGACTTGACGTCGAGGTCGCGACATGTTCATCGAGGGAGGCGAGCGTGAAAGCCTCCGGATGGTCCTGAAAGCATCTGAAAAAGCCTTTCTGATCGAATTTTAGAGGTCTATTTGTTCTTTCTTCTCATTCTTCTCCTTTCTTTTTTCTATTTGTTTCCCCAAGTCTGAAGTGCCTGGTGCCAGTCGACTGCTCCTCCTTCCACTGGCAAAAGTCTACACCTGACGCCATTGCAAAGACTCGCACAGAAAATGATCTTCGTGAGAGTCAAGGGCAATTGAACCGGGGAGCAAAGCCAAGAACTTGGCGGCATCTTTTAGATCCAATCTTTCGGCGATCGAAACAGAATGTCTTCAAAACGGTCTACAGCGCAAAATGTTCCTAGTAGCTTCTTGTTACTAGTAGCTACTTGCTCCTAGTAGCGATGCCCTGTGTTCCTATAGTAGCTTCTTTGTTCCTAGTAACAAATGTCTAGAGGCCACATGTTCTCAAAAACATGCCAAATCGCTACTTGTTTGGAGGCCACCTTCAACATGTTCAGCCGAACAACTCCAAGCACCTTTCCGCAAGTCGCCGAAAAGCATGAAGTTCTTGATATTGCTCATGGAGGTGATGCACCTGACAAACAACAGTTTATGATCCATCTGGTTGTTAATTCGCGGACTGGACAACACACAACAACGAATGACACAAAGGAGCATCTGAGCTTGAGACAAACCACCATCAAAAAGTGCTAGCTTGTTGAAACTCCGGTTCTCCTCTCGCAACAAACACATCAAACAACAACCCTATCCAGATTTATCTATTTCAAAATAGGCCTTTTGAGATGCGGAATGTGAAAATCGACCATGCTGGTCTCCCATTTCTCCACGAAGAGCTTGAAACCTTCAGAATGGATAAAGTGCTCACCTGATTGTCCCACCTTGGTGAACGGGTGAAACCAGTTGGTCCAACTTTGGAGTTCAATCCAAAAGCCGACAAAACAAAGCGCATGGGCGACCCTGACCACAGTCACTGGCGATCTCAAGGACCTTGAAACCAACTCAAAATTCACGTCGAAAACGCTTTGGCGCTTGCACCTCTGGTAAACTGGTGGCAAAACACCGGGTTCTTTGTCCTTCGGTGCAACAAGCAAAGGCTGCAACCAACCTCAATCCACCTGTCATGGAATTTCTATGAATCTCTGGCAGTCCTTGATGGAGAAAAGCATCAGGCGACCACGGCAAGTCAGATCCTGCGAGGAGTAAGCTTGTTCCCAGCATGTTTCCGTTCAAAATACAATAGGTTGGAGGCCATTGCTTCTAGGTTGGAGACCATCTCTATTAGAAACAAAGAAACAAGGAATAGAGTTTGATAAAGGAATAGAGTTTGCTAAAAGGAAAAGGAGGCCCAAACATCGCAAACCCGGGGCACACATTTTGTCCCTGCGAAACTGCAGAACCTGCAAGGGCCAACCGCGTTGTTGCCCCAATCGGCGTAATCTTTGTGTTTTGCACGTAGAGAAGCAAATAAAAGCAAAAGGAACCTAATAGCGATGCCAGGAGCCCCTAGTAGCGTCCTTGCTCCTAGTAGTAAGGCCAGGAGCCCCTAGTAGAGAAGCAAATAAAAGCAACATTCTATGACATTATGACAGATTCCCTGTCACTTTTAGTTTTGGGAGATCAGCATGAAGCATTGCCGGACTGTGGTTGCCATCAAGCACACAGTACGTATGAATTTCTGGGTGTGTTTGTGGCGTGTTCTTCCTTGGTTTGCCTTGGGTGTTCGGACCTGGCTCTGGCATATTGAAAGTGGCTAGCGGCCAGCATGTGTTGCCCAAGAATCATGACACTTTTCTTGTCATCTTTTCATGCACCCAACTGTGCCAGGATCTTCTTGAACTGGTTTCTCCATGCGGAACTTTGCATTGCAATCTTTTGCAGCCAATGCACCTGCACCGCTGTGGTATCACAGCATACTCCAAATTGTACGAATTGATCTCCTTCCCCGTGTACACACTGGTTTTGTTCGTGGTTGCCCCGTTGCTCTCAAGAGAATGCAAAGCAATGCAAATGTTTTGCCCAAAACGGGCGCAAAGTGAACATTGTCGAGACGATGCCACAGCGTTTCTAGCTTGTGGCACCACTCAGAGTTTGCTCGATCCGTCACTTTTGATCGCCCTCTCAGCTTCCTTTGGATCGACTTCCTGAGAGAAACCGGCATAGACCGGGTCCGCC